TATCTGCCGATAAATGGGGAACATTGGCCCGTAGGTCAGCATCAGCGGTGGGTACCTGAAAAATTCCAAGTATAAATAAAATAAAATAAAATTCAAAGTATATATATATGTGTGTATGTCTGTGTGTATCTGTGTGTGTGCCTTTATGAATCAAAATTCCCTCCTTCTGTGATTAGTTCTTCTATCAGTGGCGAAAGTTCCGGGAAATAACTGCAATCATCCGCCGATAAGGCTGCCAATGGTCCCCTCTTTCGACTGCTGCCCATAAGCAAACTGAAGACGAGTTTAACTTCATGGTATGTGCCGGTACCAGTTTATCATCGAAACAAATGAACGAATCGTAGAAGGATTGGTTGCACCATCGGTCGAGTTGAGCCTCAACGTGTCACAAGATAACGGGTACTACTTCTTTTTGCATCGCATTATTAACTGAAATGCTAAAAAAGCCAAGAAATCGAAATTTGAGAACTTCCAACCGCTTATACTGCTCCTGCGATAGCAAGCTACTGGCGTCCGTGTGATGAAGAATTAATGCAGATAGTAACAGTGTTAGAAATTCCTGGGATTTTATAGACCAGTGATGATTTTTGGGCATTTCCACTTATTTTGCCTGCAATTTTTATTAAAATTTAATGACTCAGTCCACTTCCGAAACTGAGTATCCCGTTCACTGTCATGAAAATGCCTCCTTTTAATTTTAAAGAAATCGCATTTCCCACTATCACCAATCACTCGATTAGCTTTTTAAAGGGCTATTTGAAATTACTGGAATGAGAGAGGCCCAAAATAGAGAACGGAGAAGCTGCCAACAGTAACAAAGGCGGAAAGAAGCACTACGATGAAACAGCAGCTGTTACAATATACAAGTAGTTATCTTCGAGCAACGAACTCTGTGATAATGCAACGGCTTCGACAAGGCTGTCTCGCTGAGAAAGAGCACTTTTTGATAGATTTTTTTTGAGCAAACATTTAGCAAAAAATTTTTGGCTCACTGAGCTGCCAGCTCAGTAACAAACATTATCAGAATATCAAAATTAGCTGAGAAACACATGTTTGGAGACTTCATGTTAGTGGCCTTTCTTGCAATTACCACTCATTAATCAAAAAAAAACAAATTTTCCTTAAATTTACAAATACCTCAGTTCAGAGGTCAGCTTAGACTCAAGATTTTGATGAAGGCATACTAGGCTCACTTCTGGCAAATGGATTATTGAAAAACGGTAAAATCGTTGTTTTTTCTTTTCGTTACATACTTCACTGCCTTCCGCTTTTGGCTAAGCAGTTGAGTAATGCTTAAATTATTCTATGAAAGGAAAAGAGTGGCGATGAGTGGCGACCAAAGACAACAAGCAAAGAAATGCTTGACAAAATTTCCGCCCTAACTGCATTCAGTCTTATGAGCTGTTTTTAGTACATGTAGTTCTCGTTTTTTCCTAGAAACATAAAAACGAGGCCTTTGAGGTTGATTGTGAGTGCATATCGTTGTCTATGAAAGAAGAATTAGTTGGAGACGAGCCGTCAATAATTAATAGTAATAATAATAGCAATAATAACAACAATAATAATAACAATAATAATGGGAACAAAAATAACAATAGTAATAATTGTGACGATATAATTATGGTAAAAGGTGACAGCGATTTACCGAACATAAATTATTATGAAATAATTATAATTAATCGCTAGTGAAACGGCGTGTCACTGAAAAGTGTTCCCTCCAAAAATCTACCGGAAATATTCCAAACCTCGCCGACTTCGTCATGCATTCTTATTCCACAAAAAAACAGAAGAAATGCTTGCCCGCCTAGAGTGACTTGCTGAGCAGAGCGTCAATAGCATTATCCCAGTTGCTATATTTTAAGATACATAAGTGCTCTAGGGAATTTTTTTCCCATCAGAATTTTCCGTTTGCAGCATTTTCGGAAAAAAAATTGCCGTAATAAGAGAACAAAAGCAGATTTACCAAAAATGGCGAGACCGCACAGTATGGATATTCCTAAGTAATAGGCGTTACTTGTCGTAGACAAGGCGAGAAAAAAAATATATATATATATATGTACACATATACGTGTGTATATATGTATACATATATATATATATATGAATTTAGAAACCCTGGAAATCATGCAACCTGGCTAGAATAAGCTCTTTCTCATCAAGCTATTTGCTTGTAGACCTTATTCTCGATCTTCATTAGAAGTGACACGCTAGCTCTGTGGAGTACTCTCCATCAAATGTCCATTTGCGTGTCACCGTTTATTGGGTGATGCTTGGATTTCAGGACAGCTTCGGAGACCCAGACATTATAAAAACAAATATTACCACGGAGCAGTACTGTACAAAGAAATTTTAAATTTTCCTGTACTGTAATTTATCCAGGAAAATTCCTTCTCACACCCAGAAAAGACTGTCCAGTTCAGAGTTTTCAAAGAGCAGTCTTTTTTGCCTGAAAAAAAGAATGCAAGTTCGTCAGAT